GGGGGGACACACACCCCTGGGAGGGTTTGGGGCGAGGGGGTGGTGGGGGGGTGTCCCCGTGTGCCCCTCTCTCACCCCACTGCAGCACCCAGCGTGTCCCCAGCGGGTCCTCGGGGATTTGGGGGTGACTCTGGGTGCTGGTGTCCCCCTGCCTGGATCCCCAGCATGTCCCCTCACCGTGTCCCCAGAGCTTTGGGGTGCTGGTGTCCCCCTGCCTGGCTCCCCAGCACGTCCCCTCACCGTGTCCCCAGAGCTTTGGGGTGCTGGTGTCCCCCTGCCTGGCTCCCCAGCACGTCCCCTCACCGTGTCCCCAGAGCTTTGGGGTGCTGGTGTCCCCCTGCCTGGCTCCCCAGCACGTCCCCTCACCGTGTCCCCAGAGCTTTGGGGTGCTGGTGTCCCCCTGCCTGGCTCCCCAGCACGTCCCCTCACCGTGTCCCCAGAGCTTTGGGGTGCTGGTGTCCCCCTGCCTGGCTCCCCAGCACGTCCCCTCACCGTGTCCCCAGAGCTTTGGGGTGCTGGTGTCCCCCTGCCTGGCTCCCCAGCACGTCCCCTCACCGTGTCCCCAGAGCTTTGGGGTGCTGGTGTCCCCCTGCCTGGCTCCCCAGCACGTCCCCTCACCGTGTCCCCAGAGCTGGGGGGACACACACCCCTGGGAGGGTTTGGGGCGAGGGGGTGGTGGGGGGGTGTCCCCGTGTGCCCCTCTCTCACCCCACTGCAGCACCCAGCGTGTCCCCAGCGTGTCCTCGGGGATTTGGGGGTGACTCTGGGTGCTGGTGTCCCCCTGCCTGGCTCCCCAGAGTGTCCCCAGGGATTTTGGGGTGACTCTGGGTGCTGGTGTCCCCCGCTGTGTCCCCAGCATGTCCCCGGGGATTTTGGGGTGACTCTGGGTGCTGGTGTCCCCCTGCCTGGATCCCCAGCATGTCCCCTCACCGTGTCCCCAGAGCTTTGGGGTGCTGGTGTCCCCCTGCCTGGCTCCCCAGTGCCCTGGGGGATTTTGGGGTGACTCTGGGTGCTGGTGTCCCCCGCTGTGTCCCCAGGAATTTGGGGGTGACTCTGGGTGCTGGTGTCCTCCTGCCTGGCTCCCCAGCATGTCCCTGGGGATTTTGGGGTGACTCTGGGTGCTAGTGTCCCCCACTGTGTCCCCAGAGATTTTGGGGTGACTCTGGGTGCTGGTGTCCCCCTGCCTGGCTCCCCAGCACGTCCCCTCACCGTGTCCCCAGAGCTTTGGGGTGCTGGTGTCCCCCTGCCTGGCTCCCCAGCACGTCCCCTCACCGTGTCCCCAGAGCTTTGGGGTGCTGGTGTCCCCCTGCCTGGCTCCCCAGCATGTCCCTGGGGATTTTGGGGTGACTCTGGGTGCTGGTGTCCCCTGCTGTGTCCCCAGGGATTTGGGGTGACTCTGGGTGCTGTGAGTGTCATGGTGTGTCCCTCAGGTGCCGTGGGTGCCACCCCCCACCCTGGCCCCTTGTTCCCCCCCCTCCTCTCCCTCTTTGTGTCCCCACAGTGGGGTGCCCAGCCAGGTGCCGGCGGCGTCCCCCTCTGCCCACAACATCAGCCAGGGCCCCGGGGTGCCAGTGGGTCACCAGTGGGTGCTCAGGGTGCTGTGGGGTGTCAGTGGGTCCCCAGGGTGCCAGTGGGTCACCAGTAGGTTCTTGGGTGTTGTGAGGTGCCAGCGGGTCCCCAAGGTGCTGGCATGTCCCCAGGGTGCCAGTGGGACACCAGTGGGTCACCAGTAGGTCCTTTGTCCCCCTGCCTGGCTCCCCAGTGCCCTGGGGGATTTTGGGGTGACTCTGGGTGCTGGTGTCCCCCGCTGTGTCCCCAGGAATTTGGGGGTGACTCTGGGTGCTGGTGTCCTCCTGCCTGGCTCCCCAGCATGTCCCTGGGGATTTTGGGGTGACTCTGGGTGCTAGTGTCCCCCACTGTGTCCCCAGAGATTTTGGGGTGACTCTGGGTGCTGGTGTCCCCCTGCCTGGCTCCCCAGCACGTCCCCTCACCGTGTCCCCAGAGCTTTGGGGTGCTGGTGTCCCCCTGCCTGGCTCCCCAGCACGTCCCCTCACCGTGTCCCCAGAGCTTTGGGGTGCTGGTGTCCCCCTGCCTGGCTCCCCAGCATGTCCCTGGGGATTTTGGGGTGACTCTGGGTGCTGGTGTCCCCTGCTGTGTCCCCAGGGATTTGGGGTGACTCTGGGTGCTGTGAGTGTCATGGTGTGTCCCTCAGGTGCCGTGGGTGCCACCCCCCACCCTGGCCCCTTGTTCCCCCCCCTCCTCTCCCTCTTTGTGTCCCCACAGTGGGGTGCCCAGCCAGGTGCCGGCGGCGTCCCCCTCTGCCCACAACATCAGCCAGGGCCCCGGGGTGCCAGTGGGTCACCAGTGGGTGCTCAGGGTGCTGTGGGGTGTCAGTGGGTCCCCAGGGTGCCAGTGGGTCACCAGTAGGTTCTTGGGTGTTGTGAGGTGCCAGCGGGTCCCCAAGGTGCTGGCATGTCCCCAGGGTGCCAGTGGGACACCAGTGGGTCACCAGTAGGTCCTTGGGTGCTGTGGGGTGCCAGCAGGTCCCCAGGGTGCTGGCATGTCCCCGGGGTACCAGTGGGTCCTTGGGGTGCTGTGGGGTGCCAGCAGGTCCCCAGGGTGCTGGCATGTCCCTGGGGTGCCAGTGGGACACCAGCAGGTCCCCAGGGTGCTGGCATGTCCCTGGGGTGCCAGTGGGACACCAGCAGGTCCCCAGGGTGCTGGCATGTCCCCGGGGTGCCAGTGGGACACCAGCGGGTCCCCAGGGTGCTGACATGTCCCTGGGGTGCTGTGGGGTGCCAGCAGGTCCCCAGGGTGCTGGCATGACCTTGGGGTGCTGTGGGGTGCCAGCAGGTCCCCAGGGTGCTGGCATGACCTTGGGGTGCTGGCATGTCCCCGGGGTGCCAGTGGGACACCAGTGGGTCCCTGGGGTGCTGTGGGGTGCCGGCAGGTCCCTGGGGTGCCATTGTGTTGACAGGGGGGGTGCTGTGGGTGCCACCCCCCACCCTGACCCCTTGTTCCCCCCCCTCCTCTCCCTCTTTGTGTCCCCACAGCGGGGTGCCCAGCCAGGTGCCGGCGGCGTCCCCCTCTGCCCACAACGTCAGCCAGGGCCCCGGGGTGCCAGTGGGTCACCAGTGGGTGCTCAGGGTGCTGTGGGGTGTCAGTGGGTCCCCAGGGTGCCAGTGGGTCACCAGTAGGTTCTTGGGTGTTGTGAGGTGCCAGCGGGTCCCCAAGGTGCTGGCATGTCCCCAGGGTGCCAGTGGGACACCAGTGGGTCACCAGTAGGTCCTTGGGTGCTGTGGGGTGCCAGCAGGTCCCCAGGGTGCTGGCATGTCCCCGGGGTACCAGTGGGTCCTTGGGGTGCTGTGGGGTGCCAGCAGGTCCCCAGGGTGCTGGCATGTCCCTGGGGTGCCAGTGGGACACCAGCAGGTCCCCAGGGTGCTGGCATGTCCCTGGGGTGCCAGTGGGACACCAGCAGGTCCCCAGGGTGCTGGCATGTCCCCGGGGTGCCAGTGGGACACCAGCGGGTCCCCAGGGTGCTGACATGTCCCTGGGGTGCTGTGGGGTGCCAGCAGGTCCCCAGGGTGCTGGCATGACCTTGGGGGTCCCCAGGGTGCTGGCATGTCCTCAGGGTGCCATTGGAACACCAGTGGGTCCTCAGGGTGCCAGTGGGACACCAGCAGGTCCCTGGGGTGCCGGCATGTCCCTGGGGTGCTGTGGGGTGCCAGCAGGTCCCTGGGGTGCTGTGGGGTGCCAGCAGGTCCCTGGGGTGCTGGCATTTCCTCGGGGTGCTAGTGAGACACGAGCGGGTCCTCGGGGTGCTGGAGGGTGCCAGCTGGTCCCCAGGGTGCTGGCATGTCCTTGGGGTGCTGGCATGTCCCCGAGGTGCCAGTGGGACACCAGTGGGTCCCTGGGGTGCTGTGGGGTGCCGGCAGGTCCCTGGGGTGCCATTGTGTTGACAGGGGGGGTGCTGTGGGTGCCACCCCCCACCCTGACCCCTTGTTCCCCCCCCTCCTCTCCCTCTTTGTGTCCCCACAGCGGGGTGCCCAGCCAGGTGCCGGCGGCGTCCCCCTCTGCCCACAACGTCAGCCAGGGCCCCGGGGTGCCAGTGGGTCACCAGTGGGTGCTCAGGGTGCTGTGGGGTGTCAGTGGGTCCCCAGGGTGCCAGTGGGTCACCAGTAGGTTCTTGGGTGTTGTGAGGTGCCAGCGGGTCCCCAAGG